GATCGCGAGGGGGGGGGTCGCGCCCCGTCGCCCCACTCCGCTCCTCCGCGGCCCGCATCGCCGCGGCGTACTCCGCGCGAGGGAGGGTGCGGTAGAGGATGGTGCCCTGGAGGTCGTAGATGTTGGGGGTCGTTTGGTCCGGCGCCCGGGACTCCTTCGGGTGGCTGGAGGAAGGCGCCGTCATCGGTGCTTTCCGAAGCGTCCTAACGGGTTCCGTCGGTTTGGGGTGAAATTTTTTTTTTAGAAAGAAGTCTATTGGAGTTTGAGGGGTGCGCGTGCGGGGTGGCGGCCGTGAAAGCCTCTAGCAGATACACAAATCAGGGGACCTAAATACCGAAGCAGTGTTCGTTCCCTAATGATTAGGTTTCGGTTTTTCTCCCACGATGGAAGGGGTAGGAAGAGAAGAGAGAAGAGGGTAGGATTCAACAATAGAAGCTAAAATAGAAGTTGATAATTTCCCTACTTTAGGCATATGAAAATCCCTTTATGTATTCTTAATCGCGCTTCGAAGAAATCTGCTGCGTTGGCAAAATTTCTAGGCGAAACGATGTCAGGACGTACAGTCTACATCTAACAAAAATGAATCCATAGTAAAGCATAGGCTTGAGTCCTTATTCGTTCTATACTGCATATGATTAACATCTTGTGCGTCTATGATAATCATTCGTATATATATTTATTTATATATATACATTCCTGATATGTGTATTTCAGACATGAGATTAGAAAGCTCTCAGTATTGTTCTTAGACCTATCATCTCTAGCATCATAAACGTCGTACCTCGACACTTCGCGTAGAGCAGCTATCACTGATTTCTTTGAAAAACGATTGCCTACATGAGCAGGGTGTTTGTTATTACGATCACCCGACCTCAAATAATCCCTTGATGCGAAACTCCCGAAAATGAACCCCCCTCCGATACCAGCCTATCACCTCAACCGAAGGTTTAATAATAAGAAGTTAAGAGTACCGCCCGCTCCCCCTTCCCCCCTTTCAACTTGGGTCATTGTACACAAAATAAAAGGAGACCACAATGCGAACGAATACTCGTTTGAGCAGCGGAGTCTCCCCAGCATATCCCTCCTCAACTTCTGCCGCTTTTGGAAAGGTCCTTCACCGTTCAAATCGTGCGACTCCGTGGGCAAGTGGATAGCTCAAACAATCCACACTGAAAAGGCTTTCCCTCCCTCGTTTCTTGGTTCGCAATTTACTGCATCACACTTCTTCTTTTTATTGAGTTGAAAATTGAATTTAGCAACCTTCCTCCTCGTCTTATCCCATGAGCCTTGTTGTAGAGCGAGGCCTTAATCTTGGGTATCCACCTGTCAAGAAATCGGGCGCTTTGGTATCCCATGTAAACTCAATAGAGATGAGGGTCTCTTTCAATGAATCCACATTTAGACTATAATTGCATATTTGATAACTAAAAGATATTAAGGGAAGGAAAGGTTTGTAGAAGAGGAAATAATGCATCTGCACTCATATTTATCTCAGACGCATGGATAATTTAATTTTTAGTTACATTTGTTTCTTGTCTAAGAGGCAAAAAAAAATCGGCTTCAACTTTTCATCTCCTTCCCGCCTCAACCTCGATAGTAAATAGAAAAGATCCCAAATTTTCATAGAAAACTGCAAAATAAAGTTTGCATCAATTTTCACCACTGTTACATTTTTAATTGCATTTTTTCTCCTTTTCATTAAGTACCATTTTCCATATTGTAACCATGGACAAAGAAACGTAATTAGGCAGACGGAAAAAGTTGAAGTTGTGCACTTTCAACACGTACGCTCATACTATGCTACAAAATATTTGTTTTTCCCTCTCCAAATGTCTAATCAGTTTTCGTTAGTATGTAAGACTACAAGAGTTGATATATGCCTATGTTGATCGCCTGCTTCGTTTGTTCCTAATAGTTTCCATCGGGAAAAGAATTAAGCTAGTTTTCCTTGCTTACTCTTTTCCTTTCATCCCTTCGCAATCCTCAGCTTCTCCTTAAACCCGTTTGACCACCTTTGTGGGCGTAAACCCCTCGGGAAGATATCCGGTTTCTTTCGTATTCCAATCCACACAACGTGGCGGTGCGCCGTCGCCGTATTTCACGATTTGAAAACCCTTCCAGGAGAACATCCACAAGAAGAAGAAAAACGTTGGTGCCGCGATATAGTACTCACGCTCCAACTGCACAGAGCGATTCATCAGCCATTTTATATCCAAAAAGCGAAATATCTGCAGCTTTCCGTTGTAGGTGGAAAAGAACCCCTTTGTGGTGTTCGGAAGAGGAAGCTCCTCTAACTTTTTCGGATGATAGAGCTCGCCTCCGCTGAGACGGATGGAGGTTCGGCGGAAAAGTCCGGATGATGTTCGACGAAGCATTTGTTTTGAACTGCAAAGCTTAAAAACTTAACCGTTGGATAAAGAAAAATAATTAAAAAGGGAAAGAAGCTAAATTATTCAAAGCCAATGGGTATGAGAGCGACATACACACACACACACACACATACACATCGTTAAAGTAAGCACTAAAAGTTACAAAAAGAGCAAGCCTAAGCAAGGAGTTAATCCAAGAGACGAAGAGCGGCTCCTATCGAGAAAGGAGAGGTTAGATAGTTCAGCTGCCGAATAAAAGAATCCGCCGGCGAAATCTGCCGATTAGCCAACAGATGAGTCTGTACATGTAAGGGGTGAGCAAAAAAGACCCTCCATAAGGATACGAGCTTAACCTCCTCAGTAATCGCAGATTCATCCTACACACTCATTCCCTTCTGCAACAGCCGCAGGGTTCGCATAATCTGAAACGCCGAAAGGGCCCTTGGAACATAGAGCCGGACCTCGGATTGGTGTTGAAGCCGCGGGATCGCGCCGTTCACCGATTCGAACTCGCTCGCATCCACAGTGGTGTTAAACAGCCTCTCATCCCCGCCGCCATCACCGTAGTGTTCGATTAAACTCGTTTTGAGGTGTTTATCCATCGTGAGAATCACCATCGGCGGGAGGCGTGGCGAAACAGCGCGACTTCGCGACTCCTCCAGGCTCGCGGTTGCGGCTATCTTCCCTCGCCGCCGTGCGTGGGCATCCGTTTCGATCCGTAACGCACCGATGAGGCTGGAGATCTCCATATCCCCCGACTCCAGCCGGGAGACGGCGTAATAGGTGAACATCTCCGACCACGGGTGAAGCTGCGCGAGGCGGAAAAAACCGTGCGGCGTCTTCGCGGTGTGCGGAATGAAAATCTCGTGAATCATCCCGAACGCGATCGGCATCGAGGAAAAAAACCGCTTCGCCTCGGGGCTCTCCAGCAGCTCCAGGACCGCCGGGGAGGAGTTCAACTCCATATTCGCCACATCAACGAGCAGAAGGAGCTGAAATGGAGGAGGTGATGGTGGCGATATCGACGACGAAAATCCCGTGGAATGGGGTGAAATCACCCCAACCTCCGTGGCAACATCCAAGGCTTCTTTATCCCCCCCTTGATGGTTGGTTTCGTGGAGTTTTGAAGGGTTTCGTTTCGTCTGGCGAGGTGGAGCGCCCCCCTCTCCCCACAGCCGCGCGACGAGGCGTCGGACGACGTGGGCGTTGAAGGCGGCGAACTCCTGAGGTGCGAACCCCTCATGGGGGTGGCGCCAACTGAGGTGGTTCGTCATCGCCTCCGGGCTTTCCCAAGGGGTTTCGTTTCCCCCTCGTTGAATGTTTTTTTTGGCAAAACAGAGAGGGCAGCGGTAGGCGGGGACGAGAAAAGACCCCCCTGTGGCGCCCTCGCGGTGGAGGCACTCCCCCCATCGCTGCGCGTGGACGCCGGTGAAGTAACGCACCCCCCTTCTGAGCGCAAACGAGGGGGTGAGGCGATGGGTGGAAGGCTCCACCACCCCTTCGCAATTCCATTTCTTTTGCTTTTTGGAGTTTCTTATTTTTGAAGGCAACGTCGTCGTCGTCTTCTCTCCCTCCTCCTCTATATTCTCGTACGCGCGCGGAAGAAGCCGCGCTCGGAGGGATGACGGCACCGCCCGCCACAACGCCGCGGTGGCGCGGAGGGTCTCGCGGGCAGCAGCAGCAGCGGCTTCTTCTCGTTCTCGTTCTTGTTCTTGTTCTTGTTCTCGTTCTCGCTCTCTTTCTTTCTCCTTTTCATGCTCGCGTTCTTTTTCTTTTTCGATTTGCTTCCTTCTGCCATCTCTTCGGAACCCCTCACGCGGGGGGTTCGGAACGAACAACGGCCGCGTCAGGAGTCCGCGCGGCGAGCCGGTCGCGAAGCCCAGCACTCGTAGACGATGAAGCCCCCGCATTCATCCTAGCAATCCCAGGTCGCGTTGAGAAAAAAAACCCCTACGATCCCTATTATTGCTATTTTGGTTGATATCTCCCTTTTTCCTACCTTCTCGTCTAAGACTGCTTCTTTGACTGAGGGTCGAGAAGTGGAAAGAGTCTGTCTAAAAAAAAAAATAATAATAATAATAATTAGGGGGAATTGGGCAGCAGATGGCATCATAAACGAGTGATCTCGACACGTCGCGTATTGGTATGGACGGATATCAGAGTGTAGAGAGTACATGATACAGTGTTTTGTTCAATAAATATAATCGCAACATCACTTTTTTAATGCATTCAAGGCACCACCGTTGCCAGAATTCACGGGCATCTTCCAAAGAAGTAGAGTCAAAAGCAAGCCAGTCGAAAATACCGAGCTATATAGTATAACGCAACATCGTTTAGCGTACTCCTCGACTCAAAGTAATGTCATAAGTAAATTTTTGAGCCCAGAGAGAAATTCCCGAAAATCAAAAAAACGAAAACGGAAATGAAGATGCAACCTTCAAAGAGTTATCGCTTGAAATTGCCCCATAAGAGATATACCGCTACTGCCCCCAAAACAAAAGCGATTATACATGGTTCAGCAATTTCGATTATTCCTTTACCTCCTCTACATCATAGCACGGATGCGAATATTTATACATATTGATTGAGATGGCATTCAACCATCCTCCCCACATAAGGATGGGGCATTTTGCAGATTTACCGTCGGCACCTGCACGCGTGCGAGCGGGAAGCCGATCACATCCTGCTCCGTCGCCTGACAGGAAACGATATCGGAGGCGATACTTCGACCTTCCGCGACCGCCTTCGCGGCCTCTTCGAGGATATCCGGCGAGAGATCCTGAATATGCACCTGAACGCGTTTGGCGCGCTCGACGAGATCCGCGAGGACCTGCTTTAACTTACTCAGAAGCTCGCGATAGCCCCGCGTGCAGCCGACAAACGCGGCCACCGGCGCGAGCAACGGCACGCAATGCTGCGGCAGCGCATCCATCCCGTGCTCGTCGAGGTATTTGCAGAGCAAATACGCGATGGAGAGGCCTTTGCGATACATCGGTGCCCATCGACATTGCTCCCGCGCCTCATGTGCGTTAAACCGCTCCACGTGGCAGTTAAAACGGAAGATTAAATACTCGTGATGGCAGACGCGCGCGAGCTGCTGCGCGTACTCGTCCTCGGTGCGTAAAAGCGGGAGGAAAAGCCGAATCCAGGTATCCACCGCCCGCCGCAGCGTCGTCTCGCTTGACGAGATATCCGCGTTAAAACTGTTCAAAAAGACGGCGACCTCCTCGCCTTCTTGTTGGGTTTGCCAGGAGGGGTCTTTTCGGATGGCGTGGCATTGCTCGCGGTATTGCTCGCGCAGCTGCTCCAGCCGGGGAAGCAAAATCGTCTCCATCTCCTCACTCGCGAGGGATGCGGAGATGTGTAAGTTGCGCATATCCAGCGGGTAATAATGCCGACGCTCTTTTTCCTCGTCGTCCTTGGCGATCTCCGGGGAGGTGCTCGGGTTGCTCGCCGCGGGGGGTTCATTCGGAGCGGGGGTGCGTTCCAGGGGCTCCTCCTTCGCGCCCGCGGCGAACTCGCGAAACACCCGCACGCTTCGCGAGCATCGCCATTCGCTCTGCGCGAGCACCGCTTGGAGATCCACGCAGAAGTAAAACAGCCGCGCCCGCGCGTCGTGGCGGGCGACCGCATCGAGCACGCATCGCCAATCCTCCCGAAACGTTTCCGCGATCGTTTCGACGGGGGAATCCCCTCGACCGCTGCGTTTTCGCGCGAAAAGCGCCCGCTGCGCGAGTGGAGGGAGGCGCTGGAGGAGATCAAAACCATCCACGGCGCATCGCCGCGGGCGGCCGCGGGGATCCTCGAAAAACAGCAGCAGCGGCATCACCGCTGCCGGCGATTCCTGCGGGAAAAGAGAGGCGAGCAAACGAAGCATCCCGCGGCGGGCGGCGGGATCCTCCGACGCGAGCGGCGGCCGCGCGCGCAGAAAAAGAAACCGCGCGAGACGCTCCCGCCGCGCGGGAGGGGGGGAGGGCCCTTCGGAATCCTTCTCGACGGTGCAAAAGGCCCCCCACGAGGTGTTCGCTACGAGCGCGATATCCAAAAACGCGAGGAGGCCCTTCTCCATCTCCCCTAACGGTGTGGAGGCCCCTTCACCGGTGGGGGCTGCGGAGGCGGCGAACCCCCCCCCAATCGCGGTGAGGGCCCCCCCCGGGGTCCATTTCGTCGAAATCGAACCCCCCTCCTTCGAAACCAAAGGAAGGGAGGGCATCGCATGGATGGTGAGAGCCTTTTCGTCCTCGACGGGATCCCCCCACGTCTCGAATCGCGCGCAGAGCCTCGCGTGGGTTCGCGGGTGGGAGGCCCCCCCC